AATGAAGTGTGTATGCGAACAGATTGCAAAAAATGTGAAAACTGTGGTCGATACAGTCTGTTAACTATGGCCTATTTTTGAAAAAATGTCTGGCAGAATAGCATGCACAGATGCTGGCTACTTGAGTGCATTGAATCATGACCGTTTTTCACCGATAGCCTGAAACTCCCCTGACTGAAAAAGGTTTAAGCCTATAAACATTCCATTGTTTTTAGTGCCAAACCCATTTGTTAAGTACAACAACAAATATTTTGTTAGTGTCTGTGAGCTCTTGTGTGATTGGTCAATGCATGGACAGCTCTTCCACTTCTGTGCTTTACTCCCTATCAATTTGGGCCCTGTTTAACTCTGGGGTTACGTCCAAACGCCACCCTCTTGACTGGAGATCTGTGTTGAAAAATAAACCTTTTTTGTTGCGGTGTATGCAAGCCGATGAACAATTTATGTTTTTTAACATCACTTCACCTATTAACAATTCACCCCTATACGTGATAATTTCATTTCAATAGTAAAAATTCGTTCTCAAAAATCCAAATAATCACAACTTCATCAAAATGTTCTATTCTTAACTTTAGCACAAAAACAACCATTTCAACAACTCATGTGCCAGTGTTCAGTGTTTGAACAATCGGTCAGTGTTTTTAATAAGCAGGTGAGAAAAGAAAGGGATAAAAATATGGTCGTTTTCTGGTCGGAAATTGATTAAGCAGATATGCGGTTGATTAAAATGTGATAAAAGAAAAAGATTGTGCGAATATTGATGCCCATTTATAGCTTGACATGCGTCACCAAATGAGGACATGGTAGGAGTTAGTAGTACTAGTATACACAGGGAGGGAGTCCAGAGAGGGAACAGCCAGCATCTCTTTTACGGGGAAAACGTGAAATCTCAACGGATTTCTTTCGTTCTCACGTGTAATATTAGGTTTTGAGGGCTTCTGAGTTAAAAAAACATGACTAAATCAACCAAAAAGCATGCGTTTAGAGACATACCTATGCAGAAGTTGGTTTGCCAGTACATAGGCTACTCTATTGACATTTTCTGTTTATTTCATGGAATTGGCACTTGAGGTAGCTGATAAGCTGTGTCGAAAACATGCACAAAATGACTATTCTGTGCTCGTTTTCGACACTGATTAAAACCAGTTGTAAGCAGATATTTTCATATGTGACGCAGCACTGACTTTGGAAAGTATAGCAGTAAGGTCACTAAAAACTATACTAAAAAAATATTACAGGGATAAAAAGGGGACACAAATTACGAAGTTACATGTACAAATTACGAGATTCACTGGCAATTAAACATACAAAAAATACATTAGAATATATCTATAATTACATGTATATTCCTACTTTGAAGAGCTGCTGTTTAGCCCAGCAAAACCTCTGTCTTTTCTTCAAAGGATGACAGGTAGCTTGTTAAATACTGATACATATGTGGTTTGAAATAATTGAATGGATCATTGAATAAGGACAATTTGTTTTCCTAGGTTTTTAAATGCAACAGTTTATTCTAGTTGGATGTGTCTTTTTTCAACCACTCCAATTGAAATGGTGTCAGAATAAATTTAACGATTATTGAGTCTGTGAAATGTTAATATCTCTTTCTGGTTCGTTTCTTGCTAAATTTTATTTCGCTTTTGTATTTTCAGGACAACATGAATGGGTGCCTAATCCCAGACACTCCAATTGCTGTGGATTATTGGAGGACAAGAAACTGTCCAGAAACAAAGTTATTCTTTTTGACTCATATGCATGCAGATCATACATCTGGATTGTCACCATCATGGAAGAGTACTATATATTGCTCTCCTGTTTCTGCAAAGCTTTTAAGAGCTAAATTTGAAATCCAGCAAAGCCTAATACAATCCTTGGAAGTAGGTGTCGGCCATGTCATCCCCCTTGATGAGTACGGTCATGAAACAATGACAGTGACACCAATTGATGCCAATCACTGCCCAGGATCTGTTATCTACCTATTTGTTGGGTACTTTGGAACTGTTTTATACACTGGTGATTTTCGATACACATCAGACATGTTTCTCAACCCACCTCTGTGTAAGCATCTATGTGTGGATGTTCTATACCTTGATAACACTTACAATAACCCAAACTGTTTATTTCCAAGTCGAGAGGAATGTACAGCAAAAATAATTGAAATAATTCAGAGTCATCCACAGCATGACGTTAAGTTAGGGATGCACACACTAGGTAAAGAAAATCTACTTGTTGATATTGCTAGAGCCGTTCAAGAATGGATCGTTGTGAGTCCATCTAGATACAGCACTCTTGAACAACTTAAAATGCCCAATGTGTTCACAACTGAGACAGATGCAGGGAGAATACATCTTGTTTCATCCTATCAGATCACAAAGAAAATCATGAAAAAATGGAATGACAAAAGACCAACTATTGGTATCCTTCCTACTGCCCTGTACACTAGCCTGAATGGTCAGCCATATTCCAGCCAAAAAGATGTTTTCGTAGTTCCTTATTCAGACCATTCTTCCTACTATGAACTTTTCAAATTTGTCTCCCAAGTTAGACCAAAAACTATCATACCAATTGTGAAACAGAAGTCATTTGGTGTATTCGGTAGTAGTATATCCGACCTTTCCGATATGCGTAATTTCAAAGAATGCATGAATCCAGAGCATGTTGTTCCTTTCGAGATACCAATCACTGTGGTGAGCTACATGAAATCAACCCATCAAGCTAGCACTGATTCTGAGCTAAACTTCATGGAGATTAGTGACAAGATAACCCATGTAAAAAGGATAAAACAGTCACGGTCCTTGATCCCGAAAAGAGTCACAAAAGGAGTTGTATATTCTGACTCGCCTAGAAAGTCACTGAATGATAAACCACCATTCAGTAATACTACAAGTGCAACTACCGGTAGTTGTTCATATGCCTTGAAGCGCCAATCAGATGATTGCTCTAGTGACTGTAAGGCACCAGCCGGATTTAAAACATTGCCAGTACAGCAGCATGAAATAAAACCCCAGCAGTGCAAATTAGAAACTTCAAACAAGTTTTTCTCAGCTTTTGCAGCTTCCAGTAATAAGGGTAGAAAACGAAAATTGCCAGCTTCACTTTGCTATCTCCAGAAGTTACAGCATAACAAAATTCAAAGACACGAAACCCAATTTGACAATGTGTTTAGTGATGATGTGAAAGTCAAGGTTAAAAATATAGTAGAAAATGTGAATTCTTTCAAAGAAAATTATGATTATGGATCACCCAAGAGTAAAGCAGAGGGTCATGTCGATATTATGAACGGAATGAAACATTGTACTTGTATGATAAGTAGTAGCCTGACATTTGACTCTCATTGTCATGCAATACCTGACAGTATGAAAGATGTGAATGGTGAACTGAAAATGTCTGCTAAGGATCAGGGAGATGGAAGGCATCTCGAGAGTACAAACCAAATTGTACAAACTATTGCAGATACTAATAACACACAAAGCCAAACTTTGGACTTCTATGATAATAAGCAGTCAAACTCAACAGCTAATCAGGAAACTGATGCAGCATTATCTACTACATTTCAATCAGTATGTACAAGTTGTGAGGGTGACACAGATTACAACTCCTGTGTAGACAGCAATGTACCATGTGATGCAAACTCTGCCCAATCTACCATAGACTTTGTTGACAATGGTTTACAGTCTGAATTGAAAGATGATAGTGACGAGCTTGTAGATGTGAACTGTGAACCCTTTGACAACATTGCACAAACTAATGATGACAGTGAACTATCTATCATCAATTCTATTGACAATGTATCTTCAAAATATAATGACCAGTGTTCTGTTATAATTTGTGCTTCTATTGACAACAATGTAGCATCCAACGGTAACTGCAATCAATCTACCAGTGATCCTATAGATGTTGATTCAAAAGATGACACAAATGAAAGTGTAGAAATGAACAGTGCTTCCGTAGCTAATGTACAAACTTATGGGAGCATGGATCGTCATATAAACGACAGTGTACTTTCAAAAGATGACAGTTACCAATCTACCAATATGAATATTGCTCCCACAGATAACAATGACCATTCAATCATTGTTTCTAATGTTCATTCAGAAGAGAATAACGAGTGTGACTATATGTATTGTACTTCCTTAGAAAACAGTATCTGTTTTGATGATAACAGTGATACTGTTAAATGTACTGACAGTAATATACAGTCTGATGATATTGATCAGTATACTAATGTGGAGTATGTGTCTATAGTTGACAATGTACAGTTAGAAAGTGGCATTGCTCGATCCACCAGTGTTCATAGGCACAACAGTGTTCAGTATGGTGGTAAAAAAAATCAAGACCAAATTAGTAAATCAATTTCAGTTCATAAAGTTGATAGTAACCGCTGTTTTCATACAAGTATATCCGTTAAACCACTGAGAAAATGTTCAGTCAATTCATATTTCTTTTCTGTGAAACCATTAAGATATAATCATCATTAAACAGTTAACTCACTTTGTATAGATTGAAAAGAGTGATGTATCTGGCAGTTGTTGGAATACTCAAGACTTTTTTTTTCAAAGTTGTAGCATTACCATAATGTAATAGTATTTTTTTTGGGTGGGGAGGGACTTGGTTTGAGCGAAATTAAATCAAGTTTTCACTACCAATTTATGTACTGCCAGTCATCATTTGTACACCATATTTACAGGTCATGCTAGGTATCAATGGTGCCATATTTATTTTTATTTGATATTACGGTCCTACTATTACTACTACTAATAATAATAATAATAACTTTATTGCATCCTTAGAAAT